CATAAGAATTACAGCCTCCATGAGACAGAATTCCACTTGGGAAGATGTACACAGACTATTTTAAAGACGCTGCTAATGAAAAGAGAGGTACAGAGAGATCAAGAAAGAAAGAAGGAAAGAGACAGAATAGAAGGAAGGAAGGAAGGAAGGAAGGAAGGAAGGAAGGAAGGAAGGAAGGAAGGAAGGAAGGAAGGAAGGGAAAGGAAGGAAGGGAGGAGACAGGGAGGAAGGGAGGGAGAGGGAGGAAGGGAGGAAGGGAGGAAGGGAGGAAGGGAGGAAGGGAGGAAGGGAGGAAGGAAGGAAGGAAGGAAGGAAGGAAGGAAGGAAGGAAGGAAGGAAGGAAGGAAGGAAGGGAAAGGAAGGAAGGGAGGAGACAGGGAGGAAGGGAGGGAGAGGGAGGAAGGGAGGAAGGGAGGAAGGGAGGAAGGGAGGAAGGGAGGAAGGGAGGAAGGGAGGAAGGAAGGAAGGAAGGAAGGAAGGAAGGAAGGAAGGAAGGAAGGAAGGAGACAGAGAGGAAGGGAGGGAGGGAGGACAGCAGTCAGCATTCTACTCTGTAGAGAAAAATTTCTTGTGCTTTACCGGGAACTGCACAGCCATTGCCGAAACAGCCAAAGACTCAGTCTGAGCATCAGCTCTTCCATTTTTATGGGCTAATAAATGGGATACATAATAGAACAAAGACCTTTTTCTAATTTGTCAAATTTTTGACAAAAGAGTCTTACAGGGGCATACACATAGTATATCGCTTGACATTTAAATTATGTTCAAACGTGAGAGTAAATTGGGGTGTCCTGGCATGCCTGGGGTAGCAGACACGTAATTCAAGTGAAAGTTTGTTTCAGTTAGACGTTTCCTGTTCCCAAGGGTGCCCCTTGCTGTAATTAGCAGTCTTGAAGCCGCTGCCTAGATCTGGTAGCAGCCTGACCCCAACTTCTGTCGGGAGGGAGCCGAAATCGAGGTGGTGGAGACTGCACCCTCTGCTGCACTGACTCAGTCACCCTCGGGGTCTTCCTGCTTAGAACCCCCCCCCCCATCCTGCCTGAGCCCTGAGCGGCCCAGGTGCACACCGTGGGACCACGTGACTTCTGTCCACGTTCCAACATGCTCCATACACCCTCTCGGACCTCCCAACGCTCCCGAGGGGAACCGCAGAGGTGCCAGAGCTCGTACAACTGGCCTGAGGTCCTCTCACTACTGAGCGGAGGGCAGTTACCACCTGGGCAGGTGGGTCCCCAGGTCACACCTGGTGCGAATCCGCCATCCACATCATCAGTGATCTTACAAGCTTTCCGTCTGGGCTGGCTCCGTGTCTGCCTCCCTTCCCTCGAGCCTGCCAGGGAAGAGCATCGGGGGGCCAGCCCGAGGGGCCCAGGAGCTGCCGGCCGGCGAGAGGCTGGGACACGCCCAGGTGACCGCGGCTAAAGGTCCAGGTGGCAGGAGATATTTATTTATTTATTTTTATTTTTAAATGTTTTTTGTTGTTTTTTTCTTTATTGATTTTAGAGAGAGAGGAAGGGAGAGGGAGCGAGAGAGACAGAAACATCAATGAGAAAGAACATCGACTGGCCACCTCCTGGGGTTGGGCCTACAGCCTGGGCATGTGTGCGGACCGGGAACCGAACCGGCGACCTCTTGGTGCAGGGCGGACGCTCAACCGCGGAGCCGCACCGGCCGGGCGGTGGCAGGGAATATGTAAAAACTCTGCTGATGACCACCTTCCCTGCTTCGTCCCCAGCTCTCCACCTCAGACGGTCAGCAGGCCTCACAAGGGCCGCCGGCCTCACAGGCAGCTCAGCTCTCTGGTCCGGGCGGCTCTCAGCATCCACACAATCTCCAAGCATCTGCATTCAAGTCAGAGATCACCTGGAGAGTCATCGAAAGGCCAGAGGACGGAACACGAGAGGCAGGATCCCCTTCGGCTCTCAGCCCAGGTCACGGTCACCCCCACCCCGTCCTCCGGGGCAGAGGCTCCCGCCCTGGGCCGCCACGACCCAGGCTCTTCTCTCGGGACTTCCCATGAAACCACAGAGAGCAGACAGACGCTGGCCGCATCTCCCCGAGGACCCGTGTCCTGGGCTGCTGGGATGATGCCCCGAACCCGGGGTTTCTGTGTTCGGATTCAGGGTGTCAGCCCCTAAACGATGTGCCCCCTCCTCCTTCTGAGGTCTGGTCACAGGAGTGTGGAAACACGGCCTCGAGGGAAGGACACACGCGGTGCGGCCGGGACCCGACCGATCGGCTGTCCGTGTTTGCTGTTCAATCAACGACTGTCACTTTAAGAGGAGAAGGACCACCCTCTACGGAGCCAGCCCCCCGACTTGGAAGAGGAGGTCTTCCCCCTTTCTCCTCCTGACCCGGCTTCTAACGCTGCCTCCTTACTTGGCTAAACCGACTTCAGTTAAAATACACGAGGTGTCACGAGCTATTGATCGGAGAAACAGAAGGGGGATCACAGGCTCCTATTTCATCGCTAAGGACAGCAGCTCCCCCAGCAACCCTGTTCCCTGTGACATCGAAACGCACGTACCCTCAGCGCGCGAGGCTGGAGGGTCCCTCCGCTCCATTCCCATCAGAAAACCATTTCTGCAGCTGCGGGACTTTTAGTGGGTTGAATCAGATTTTCACGGGGCAGTCATTGGACCAAAGATGCTTTTTTTTTTTTTTTTAAACGCGAAAATGCAGACACATTCATTCTTTCTGGTTCTCGCTTTGCAGAAAATGACTGAATTCCACGAAGCTATTGTTTTGGGAACTGTCCCAGGGTGCCGCTCGCCGGGCCCCTCGTACCAGCAGCCTGTCTATGTAAAGGGCAGGATGCGTTCCGTTCCGAACCTCAGGACAGTTTTTATTTCATTATGTTTTATTTTTAACCTCAGAGCTGACTACTTTCTTCCTCTGGTCTCCTGTGACTCCCAGATCCCAGAATCCGAGGATTTCTACGTTTCTCGTGTGCACCAGAGACGCGTGACGACTGCCCGGAGTTTGAAAATGCCTCAGTTTCCCCAACGTATCGGACAAGAATGTGATCAACTGCCTATCCTTGGAGATGTCATCCTTCCAATAATGAGAATGAATATAGTGTAAAAAAAGAAAATTAATTCTCTTTAAATTGACTTTGAATCCATAACTTCAGTCAATGGGTTTTTTTGTTTGTTTGTTTTTTTGTTTTGGTTAATCCTCACCCAAGAATATTTTTTTTCCATTGATTTTTAGACAGAGTGAAAGGAAGAGAAGGAAGGAGAGAGAGAGAGAAACATTGATGTGAGAGAGACACATCGATTAGTTGCCACCCACATGTGTCCTGATTGGAGTCAGCGATTGAACCTGCAACCCAGGTACATGCCCTTGACCGGGAACTGAACCCGTGACCCTTGGGTGAGTGGGCCAATGCTCTAACCACCGAGCCACACTGGCCAGGACATCAGTCAATGTTTTTAATACATATCTTTAACAGAACAGAAACTCCACATCTTTTTTTTTTTTTTTTTTTCATTCTTTGTTCAGGTAGAGTGAGAGGGAGAGAGAGGAACAGAGAGAGAGAAACATCGATGTGAAAGAGACACATCGAGTGGTCGCCACCCACACAACCAACCAGGGCCGGGGACAAACTGCAACCGAGGTACGTGCCCTTAGCGGGAACCGAACCCGGGTCTCTCTGGACCGCAGGCGGATGTTCTCACCGCTGAGCCAAACTGGCCAGGGTCAATGTTTTTAATACATATCTTTAACAGAACAGAAACTCCACATCTTCACACCATTTCAGTCTCTGGGAAGACAGGCACCCCAGATTACGGCGTGGTGGTGACCAAGTGCCTGCCATAAGGCACGGTCATGACTTACGTCATTGGAGTAAGTGCAGTCACTGCCTACGTGAATATTCCCTGTGCAGTTAGAGATTGGGTTTCTCCCTTATTTTATTTTTCCCATCACCATTTACCCCCATATACCTTCTTCCACCCCCACCGAGAACCACTGTAATGAACCAGCTATTAATATCCAGAAAGAAGCAAAAGAGAGGCCGGATATTATAGGCGTGTCTTTGGGCAGCTTCACCAGGAAGCTACAACTTTACACCCCCCGGGGGGCCAACACGGGGGAGAAAGATGCATCGCATGCCCCGTCAAGTTGGGGTGACACTGGGAAGGCACCTGCCTATCAGTCACACCTGGGAACAGGTCACTGGCCAGAGTGGGCATGGCCTCTGCAAGGGCGTGAAATTTGAGATATTTAATCTCCTGAACAATGAACTTCCTGCTCTTGGCTCTCTAGGGACTCTTGTTGCAGGGGTTCGAGCTCTTGGCTCCCCTGTATTCGTCCATGTGGCCCATGGCCATGCGAACCCCACACCTGGTGGACTCACGGACCACACCTAGCCTGATGCTGAAGTGGATCCGGCTGCAATGTGGACGGACACTCTGGACCCTGGGTTTGCTTCTAGCTCTGCTGAAACCCCAGCTGCACTCCTGTGACTGGGATGGGACTTGGGAGACCCAGGGATGTAAACCCACGCAAATAAAAATCACTCCTTCTCCCACGAGCGTCTCAGAAAATTCTTTTCCTCAAGCTGTCGAAAGAACTCCACCCCTAGCACTCAGTGGGGGAAAGAATACCCCAATTTCTCCGATAGCACAGTCACCCCCCTCTCCCCGAGATGAGTTAGTTTGGGATGGAGCAAGTCCTGAACTATTTTCTATGCCTGCTTACAACGCCCTGTAAATGTGGGAAGCCTTGGGGCTTTATCTTTCAATTATATACAATCTGCAACGTTTGCTTCCAACACCTGCAGAGAAGTTTCCGGAACACTGGGAGGGACCGGGCGTTTAGCTGATTAAATTAGTGCGGTTTCAATTTCACATTATCTAGCCTTGCTCAGCCTGGAGTGTTACAAGTTCATTGCTTCTGTCTGGCTCTCCTGAAAGTTGAAACGCAAAGTCATTTTCTGCTTTATTGACTTGCAGGAGAGACCACGGAAATTATTCTGGTCAATGATGAGTACTTACAATTTTTTTGCCTTCTATTAACACTGTAGACAGATTAGTTTCAACATTCCACAGTATCACACTTCCTTTCTGCTCTCTGTAGATGAATTCTTTATCTACGAGAGAGGAAATGAAAAAAAGAAACATGAGACATCAAGGAACTCACCAAGCCTGTGACGGACACGGAGGGAAAATGAATGGACTGCTTCTGAAAAAAAAACCAAAAAACAACTATCCTGCATTTAATCAAAGGGTCCTTAAAACATGGGGAAATGTACTCAGTCCCTCTTAACATAACATTCTGTGAAGCTCATCTCTGAATCGTCTCTCCTCTTCTACACACTGAGGTGCAAAACGCCACGTACACTCACCACAGTTTTAGAGTATTCTAGATCTTTTTTGGGTAGGACACATGGAGCGGGCACAGACAGCAGATTAAGGAAGATGCTACCATAAGGGATGGGAGGTAACTGGCACTAACCGGACCGATTTCTTATATCTGAAACTTCGGGGTGGCGCCCGTGTGGTTGCGCACACAGAGACCTACAGCCGCATCCCCGAACCTGTCTTCATTTTGCTACTCCCGGGGGAACAGGGCTGTTACTCTGAGATCTTTGAATATCGACACTGTATCATCTGCAGTGACACTGATACTTTGTATGATCAATCATCCCCTTAGCAAAAGAATAAAACACGGCTCATCACATTTGCACGCACACCGTGAATGAAGGGAAACTCTGAAGATAGGATTGTTAGGAGAGGCAGGATGCAAAACGGGAAGAAGAAAAAGTACCATTTTTCTGCGCGAAGGTGGCAACAATGAGCCAGACCGATGATAAAGGCATTTTACACAATAACGAAAAACACCGTGCAGACTGGATGAATTCCAAAGGTGTCATCCTTTCCATGGTCTCTTTACAGAATTACATCCTTCTCCTTTTTATTCCCTTCTTCTGCTTGTGAAGACTTTCATTTTCTCTCCTCTTTCTGGTTTGTTGAGGTGACAAATTAGATCTTCGGTTGCGTCTTCCATCTTTTCTAATAACACGATTCAAGATACGCGTTTCCCTCTACGAACGGGGTTCGCTACCTCTCACAAACATCGCCAGGCTGAACGACGTTACTATTCAGTCCAAATTATTTCTGATTTTTCTTGTCAGGTCTGTTGGGGCCCAATGATCATTTGGAAACGTGTTGCTTAATTTCCAGATATGTAAAGTTAACCCTGGCCCTCTTATTGTCATAGATTTCTAATTTAAATTCAGTGGAGCAAAGGTTAGCCTGTACATGATTTCGGTCTTTTAGAATGGGGACATTTTGGGGCCCGTGATATGGTCTGTCCTGGTAGGTGTATCACCTGTGCTCAATTATGAAATACGGGTATCTCTGGGTTTATCTTTTTTGTTTTGTGTTTTTGGCTTTTAGTTTGTTTTCTACTTGTCTCCTCTACTTCTTGTCCCTCCCTTTCATGTTTCCTGGCTTTCATGTCATTGTTGAATAGTTTTAATTTCCTTTATTTTAGCTGTAATTTCTTTGCATTTATTATTTATTATTTATTTATTTATTTTTTTCCTCACCCGAGGACATTTTTCCATTTTTTTGGTCAGATAGAGTGAGAGGGAAAGAGAGAAACATCGACGTGAAAGGGACACATCGAGTGGCTGCCACCCGCACGACCAACCAGGGCCGGAGACAAACTGCAACCGAGGTACGTGCCCTTAGCGGGAACCGAACCCGGTCTCTCCGGACCGCAGGCCGACGCTCTAACCGCTGAGCCAAACCGGCCAGGGCTCTTTGCATTTAGTTTTATTGGTTGTCCTGGGGATTACAGTATATACTCTTCACTGGGCACAGTCTACAAAGAGTTAACAATGTACTACTTCTCATGACACATAGAAGCCTGTCATGTTTTCCAGTCCACGTCCGGTCCCATGATACTGTAGCTACGTGGGTTACGTCAGCATACTTTATACATTCCACAAGATGATGCTACAATTATCACCTAGAAACAGCGGTTCTGTGGGTCTCAACCCCTTTGATGGTCGAATGACCCTTTCACAGGGGTCGCCTAGGACATCACAGTAGCAAAATTACAGTTATGAAGCAGCAACAAAAATAATTTTATGATTGGGGGTCACCACAACATGAGGAACTGCATTCAAGGGTCGCGGCATTAGGAAGGTTGAGAACCAGTGGCTTATAACAAAATAGGGTTTATAAAGAAATTAAGAAGAAAACATCAAAACATGTCTTTTGCCTTTATCCATGCTTTGCCATTTCTCGCGTCTCTTTCTTCGTTATCAGGACCTGAGTTTCCCTTGGCTGTCATCTTCCTACATCACAAAGAACTTACTTTCTGTTGCTTTCCAGGGTTGTCCGTGGTCTCTGGTTTTCAGCAGTGGGACCATGATGCCTCCAGACGGGGCTGCTTCGTGTTGACCTTGGCTGGAGTTTGCTGAGTGCCTTGTATCTGCCAATTCACATCGTCATCGAACCTTCAGCCATTAATTTGCCAAATATGTTCTCTACTCCTTCACGGATGTCTTCATCTTCTGGAATTCCAAGTGCACGTGTGTCACGTTGGTTATATTGTAAAATGCCCTCTTTTTGAGCTCATGTCTGTCTGCTTGACCTTTCCTTCAGTGGATCGTGGTGTTGAAACTTTCAAATCAAAGACAAATCTGGCTTGTGTTAAAATCAAGAATTTTGTGTTAACATCCATCACAATGGGTAGGTTCTCTCCTGCACAGCCCTTAAATTTTTTGTTTCACATATTTTGTGACGACTCTATTTGATCAATGCAAGTTCAGAATTTTTTATCTTCCTGGCAATTCAAAACTTTTATTTAACTACCTATAATGCTTTTTTTTATCCTCACCGAGGACATTTTTCCATTTTTTGGTCAGATAGAATGGGAAGGAGAGAGGGAGAGAGAGAGAGGAACATCAACACAAGAGAGACACATTGACTGGTTGTCTCCCGCACGACCTCGACCAGGGCCAGGGACAAACTGTAACCGAGGTACGTGCCCGTAGCAGGAACCGAACCCGGGTCTCCCTGGACCGCAGGCCGATGGTCTAACCGCTGAGCCAAACTGGCCAGGGCTAACTACTAATAATGCTTTTAAAAAATGATTTCTCACCCTGGCCGGTTTTGCTCAGTGGTTAGAGCATCAACCTGCGGAAAAATGAGTCGTGGGTTCAACTCCAGTCCAGGGCATGTACCTTGGTGGCAGTTCGTCCCCGGCCCTGGTCGGGGTCGTGCGGGAGGCAACCAGTCAATGTGTCCCTCTCGCGTTGATGTTTCTCCCTCTCTCCCTCCCTCTCCCACCCACTCTGTCTGAAGATATATAGAAGAATATCCCCGGGTGAGGATGAAGATGACAGATTCCTCCGTGTAGAACAGGCAACATGTAGTTCGCACCTCGCTTCTTGCATGTGGCATGTGGAGGCTCTGGGAGATGCCTGGGTCACCGCTCTCGGGGCGCGTCGGCTGCAGCTCTGAGGAGTCATCTGTCTTTTCGTTCCTCACCTTCCGGAGGCCTCACCCGCCCTCCTTCCTCCTGAAGGCTCAGGACCCCCTGTCTTCACGCTGGTGTCCTGCCCGGTGTCCGAGTGCCGTGGCCCCCGGTGGCCTCTCCCTCCACTACAGTCTCTGTGCAGACCCGGCCACACCTCTCTTTGCTCCTCTTTTCTCCTCCTGGCTCCTCTGGCAGAGACTTTGGCCAAACTGCTTAGCCCGACATCCAAGGTCCTCTCCCCTCGGGCCCCGGGCCTGTCCCCCCTCGCAGAACACGGCGGCCAACGCGTAAGTGTGGAAGGAATAAGGCAGAACATTGCTCCACAGCCCCTACCCACACGCCCGATTCCGGGAGGGCTCGGCGGCACACGCTGAACCCACGGGGCGGACGCTGAAGGGAGGTTGCCTGGGGCCCCGGACAAACCTGCCCGTCTCAATGGGGAAAACGTTTCTCACGGAGGGATTTGGTGGGCGTGACTGAAGCCCACTAATCGACATCGGAATCCCTCGTGGTGGGACGGCCAGACTCCACGCCGGTGCCAGTCCCTCCACGAGGAATCAGTGGGACAAATCGGGGTGTGGGGACCTCGGCGGCGTGACTGGCCCGAGGCAGGGAGACAGTTCTGTCCAGGAGGAGATGAGCTTCTGCATTCGCCGGAGCTGCAGAGACAGAATGAACCCCTCTCCCTGGGACGCTTCATTTAACCCGAGCTGGGGGAAGGGTCACAGGGCGTGTGCCGAGGCGAATGTGGAAATCTGAGTGCGCCCCGGGAATGTGACGCTGTGAGGGGGCTGCAGCCAGCTCCGTCGATCCGATGACGCCGTGGCCATGAGGGAGAACACGCTCTGGAGGTGCGTACGTGTTCGAATTCGGGGATAAAAGAAAACAGTGTAACTCGTGTTTAAAAATTCTCAGCAAAGAATGTGGACCGAGGACACAAAATTGGAGAAAGTGTTGAAAGCAACTGGTGGTTAGTTAGGTGTTCACTGTGCGGACTTTTTCTTTTTTTAAAAAATATATTTTTATTGATTTTCACAGAGAGAGGAAGGGAGAAGGAGAAAGAGAGAGAAACATCAATGGGAGAGAGAACCATCGATCGGCCGCCTCCTGCATGCCCCCCTCTGGAGACAGAGCCTGCAACCCAGTCACGTGTCCTGACCAGGAATCAACCTGAAACCTCTTGGTGCATGGTTGACGCTCAGCCACTGAGCCACACCGGCTGTGCTGTGCTGTCCTTTTATTTTATTTTTTTATCCTCACCCGAGGACATTTTTTTTTGCATTTTTCTTCAAATAGAGCGGGAGGGAGAGAGGGAGAAAGACATAGAGAGGGAAACATCAACATGAGAGAGACACATCGCGTGGCCACCACCCCCACGACCCCAACCAGGGCCGGGGACAAACTGCAACCGAGGTACGTGCCCTTAGTGGGAACCGAACCCGGGTCTCTCTGGTCCGCGGGCCGACGCTCTACCCGCTGAGCCAAACCGGCCAGGGCTGCGCTGTCCTTTTAAATAGAGAAAATAAAATGACGGAGTCCCTGACTTTGGGAACACACAGGAGTTGGTGGACAGAGACGCTGTTGCCAAAGAACAGG